TACAAAAAAAAAAAAAAAAATGCCACGTAGAGAATGTAGATGTTGGAAAAGGGGAAAGTAAAGATTCAACAGAAACACTACAAAAATGCCACTAAAGCATAATAGAGTTAAACCACAGCCTTAGTCCAGTACCAACTGATTACATATAAAACAATTCTGGTTGCTATGGATGTCTGGTAACAGCTACATATTGTCCAGATAGTCCTTCACAGATTTGGTGAGAGGCCGCTCTCACACGAAGCATCGGAGAACTCACCCCGTCTGAAAGAAAATTCTTTACAATGAGTCAAGAGTGTTAATGAGTAGCTGAAGGAGACACAAAGAAATGTGAAGGCAAACACTGGTTTGTAGAAGGTCTGGGCGGATGGGGAGGGGGGGGGGCAGCAGGGATGGAGGGAAGAGAAGGGAGGAGGGAAAGAAAAAAAAAAAAGTGGTTTCATAGTCCACAATTTGCTGCTAATGGGAGAACTGGTGTAGAGATGGATTGGGGAGGGAGGTGCTTAAATGTTCGATAAACAATATTATTGTTATTAATATTATTATTATTATTCTTTTATTATAACAGTCAGGAGCCATCCACGGGCGGGAGGATCAGGAGGGCTTCTCCAGGCCTCGGGGGGGCCAGCTCTCCAGTTTGCAATACACAGTGTTGGAGTTCTTGCATCGGCAACCGGGCCGGCTGATGCGGTCGTAGCAGCTCTGGCAGGCGTTGATGCAGCCCTTGGCTGGGGGGTAGCACAGTAAACAGGGGAAAAGCACGGACATGAATCCCATGCACAGGAACCGGGAGCAGAAGTGGGAGCGCGAGAGGGAGCAGGGGTTGTCCGCACACGAGTCGCCCTCGTCGTCATTGGAGCAGTGGTAGAAGATGCCCTTGACCAGGCACATGCACGTGCCGTGTTCCACCGCGCTCTCGGCCGAGCACAGACACTGTCCGCGGCAGGCCAGGCACGAGGGCAGGGTCCTGGGCGCCGTGCACTCACCGCACTTGCACCTCCCGCATCGCTCGCAGATGAACCGGTGGCCCGAGGCATCCCCCTTGCCCAGGGGCTTGAGCACGTCCTCCGGCGGCGCCGGTGGCGGCTTGGGCTGAGTCCGCACGGCCCGGTCGACGCGGTGGCCCGGCCCGGGCCTGGGGTGCAGCGAGCGCTGGAGCAGACCCTGCTCGGATGAAGCGCTGCTGTTGCTGCCAGAGCTGGCGGCACTTCCGGTACTGGTGGAGCGGCTCAAGACGGGCCCCCGCGAGCCACCCGGGGGACTGGTGGGCCTGTGCTCGTAGTTGTTGTTCACATTGACGTGTATGACCTCGTGAGTCCTCTCCTGCTTCTCGGGACGCTGCAGCGGCCGGGCAGCAGGCCTCCGGGGAGCAGGCCTCCGAGCCACGGACGGCCCCTCTGTGTACTCGTTATTCGAGCGAATGGCCTTGATTTGGTCTAAAGAGAGAATGGCCGCATGCTGTAGCTCCCTTTCATAATCCAACCTCTGCCTGGTCTCCAGGGAGGGCTGCTGGATCACGACTAATGAACCGCCAGTGCCATTTTGACTTTGGAGCTCCATCTGGGGTGATCACCACTTCCGACATTCACTGTGGACTTGGCACGCATCTGAAATCCTGTAGAGATCAAGTCGGAGCACAATTAGAGAAAAACAGTATCGAGAATCAGAATATGAGCTACATTAATATTCAACAAGGCACGATTCCGCTTTTTCTATCTCCAAGGCATTAAATGCAATTTGCAACAAACTATCACTTTTTTTCTTGCACATTTCGAGTATATCTTGTGAAACCAGGTCTCGAAGCAATATTGAATATTTCCGAATTATGTGGCATGAAAGTAAAACCCCCAGAACCCCCAAGTTTTAACGCACTTGGAAGATAGCGCGCACTGCACGTAAACAAGCAGACAGATGAATAGCTGCTCCCTTTAAAACATAAAGCAGCTTCAAAATAAAACGGAAGTATTTCTATAGTAGACTGCTGTTCGAAGAAATTAAATATTTTCTAGATCTTAAGCAAAGCATGCGGCTAAAAAGTTGACTATTAACAAGACTTTAAACAACCTTTTTCAATACGCACACATCTAAACTTCAGTACAAACACTTCCCGTCCTAATTTACATTTGTATAGCTAGTTAACATTAAAATGCAGCACAGCAGCGAAACGAGGACACGGTCGATGCCGACAATATGATCTGCTTCTTTGAATCCGAACAATTAAACTGAATACATTTGACAGATTTTAACTTCGTGGCTTGACAGTATGAAAACTATCAATCTGCGTCGGTTACGAAGAGCGACGGAACTCGGAGGGAAACTTTGGGGCTTAAGTCTAATGCTAAGGTCGTAAAAGTGAATCTAAAAATCATCGATCGCACTCAACCATAAGCCCGATTTTGACTGGATTACGCAAATACAAACATATAGAAAGGATAATGTTAACGACACCCTTTAGAAATAATGAAGACGGGCTTGGGCATTGTTGCAGTCTATCCTTCAATCTGCACTCTTGAAGAAACGGCGATCGTAAAACACACACACACACACACACACACACGGACATCTCCGTGTGACGAGAATACCTAAAAGGCAGATTTTCCAAAGAGGAAGAGATCGCCTGGTTTGAACAACAAAGATAAAGGCCATTACCTTGATCCATGCACTCCCTGCAGAACATTCTTGGCCTGGCAGCCACAACGATGCAGTCGGATCATCGCGTCTATACCGCACGTCAAAGTTAAAAAAATATATATATTTTTTAAAGTTACCCTCGACAATTTAAAAGGTCTGCGTGCATTGTAAATACAACTCATTACAAATTAACCTGTTGTTTCGCCGCGGATCTACACTATATCGCATTTCAGCAAGTAAGGCTGCGCACACTGGGGGGAAAATGGTAGCGCGGCGCCCTCTGCGACGGCAATTAAAAGTGATTGATAAACAGATCGCGAAGACGAGCCGAAGAGAGGAAGGAAAAAACTTATGAATGAAAACAAGCTCCGTGGGGGGAGGGGTGTTTGTTAGTTACCGCAGGAGGGCGAACTCCCTTAACTGTCCAAGTATGAACATTTGGTTTCCTTTCGAAGCCCCAACTGCACCTACTTGATAAACACGCAACGGAATAAACAGCGCGGCGTCGACAGCTCTACGTAAGTTAGGCACTTGTCAAAGTAAACAACATAACAGCAGAACTATGCGCGCATTTTGTAATAAGTAGATATAAAATGCATCGGATTGACTCGTTTAGTGACAATCACGGTTATGGACGCACCACAACATTTCTATGTGCGCCACAATTAATTTATATTGCAGTGCGTGTCAAGCAAGCTAGGAAAAACACTCACCTATATACAACCATCCATGATGTTGAATCCATCAACCAAAATATCAAGAAGCCCAGTCCGAAGAAATTGTCCAAATGCAGTAAAGTTAGTACATATCAGTCATAACGAAAACTGTACATCCAATGCATAAAACGATCGGTTTGCAAATCCTTCTTCCAAGTGTGACCATTTATATACCAGTTTGATCCAGAAACGGTAAATCCATGGCTGTATTTAGCAGATAAAGAAGACGACACTCGGGTGCACTGGCGAGGTCCCGAGCAGAAATCAGTTCTGTTTTGCTACGGAGCGGAGCAACAACTGCAAAAAATGAGAACTAATTAAATTTGCTATTGGAGCAAAACGCGGATTAAAAGCTTATATCCCAGAGAGTGTTGTGTTTTTTCTCTGTTTTGTAGCGTGGACTCGTCCATCGAGCACGGGGCGCCTCCGCGAGCTGTCGCGCGCTCTACGCAGCCGTAATACCGTCTCGCACTGAATGAATGGGAATGCGGGGTCCCGTGTTTGTCCGGCTAAGCAGCTCCCATTGGCCATTCACCCCCCTGAAAAAGGATACATAGCATCCGCTCTTAATTCATTGGGCAGCTGTGGGAGGCTGGGCTGTGGAGAGATGTGTGCAACACTTAAGGTGGACAGATTTCTCCCCCCCCCCCCACACACAATAGTCAACCGACAGCGTCCCTACTTCACGGCATTGTCAGAAATTCCATAGCTGCCGCACTTCGTGTTTATGTACTACGTGTTTTTCGTAATGACAAAAAAAGAAAAACTTGAGTCAACACTTCTTTTCGATTAGTCAATGTTGTGCGTGTGTTTTCCCGTAATAGAACGTATACAGGCTGATTTAAAACTATCAAGTGAAATTTTGAAAAGTCTATTAAAATTAAATTACAAAATCACTCTGACTGAGTGCGGTTTAAATGTAACTCAAAATGTATTTGCTTGCATAATACAAATGTGCTTTAATTGACATTTCGACGCCACCTTAAAAATCTGTTCGGCGAGAAAGAGAAGGTGCCTCGCTGTTCCTGGCTGTCTGGTTTGATTGGTGTCGAGGATGCATTACATCCGAATCCATGAGAATGGGAAGTTCAATACAAAGCCAATCTATCCCATTGAAATGGAAAATCAACAGATAACCGATATTTACGACAAGCTATTTAGAAAAGTCCATAGGGACAACCGGTTCAAAGCGAGGATATAACACGTACGGATAGCAGTTAACATTTGACGCGATTAAATTGGCGTCATAAAGAGCCTGCGGTAATCTCATCATCAGAAGGGGGTATAAATATTCAACTGAAGAAAAAAACAAAACAAAAAAAAAAAACAGCTTAAAACGGCATTTTAACCGTGGCCACGTGTCAAAAGCTTTGGGGTTTTTTTTTTTTTTTTTTTTTTTTTAAACTTATCCAATCTTGTATACTTGTATACTTACCTACATATCTCGCTGACTGCTTTCACAATTTCACAGATTCTTCACTTTTTCCTAAATGTTTTTTTTTTCACTTCTTATATTGGTTACTTGACCATTATAATAGATTTAGAATAAAATGTAATAAAAATTAGGCTTTTTGTTGACTCGTTCAGGAATAAACCCATGATAAACTCATAACACATTTTCTCATATTCCACACGTAAACAACCAAAACAAAAATGTCATGGAAAAAATCCTATTTTTATTTAAAACGAGCACACAAACATGGAACAGAAAATGAATGCATATTCTCTGATTTGTATTCACTTTGGTTTTCCCAGTCAGCTCTTCACCCTTGAATGTGCTATACTGGCAGTTGAGGGAGTCAGTCAGCCAGCATATAACTTTGCAGTTCCTTCCTCAAATGCTAACTGCCAAAATGCAGGCCATTTTCTGCCTCTGAAAGTGAACTGATTTAGAGCAGAAGGGCAGCCTGAGGAGAGCTGTACTATGAAATGTGCCGTTTCTGGATTCTTCTTCTCTTCCACACGAGACATCAGAGAACGTGCAAGCCGCTCTGCTCCTGGTAGCGGACGTACGACTGGATAAGTGAGTCCGGGATCCTCGGCTTCACCGCGGCAAGAGCGCCGTCGAAATGCCTTCCCGTGACGCTCTGGGCCTTGATGTCATCCTGCAAGGCTAGGAGTGCAGCCTCCCTGCAAACAGCACTTATCTAGGACAGGAAAACAGACAGAATAGACTCATGTACCATTGTCAACAAGCTGTCCCACAACACGATGATCCGCGGTGTCTCAAAAATAAAGATCACTAATCATCACAGTTGCTAAAAATAATAAATATGACATACAAGCTTCAGCAAAGGACAGGACTGAGCAATACACCTTCAGAGACTGTTTACTGCGGTATAAATAAATCACATTTAGGTAATTACGGTTGTGTCTCCAAAGTGGATGTCTGAAATTAGAACTATAATGAAATCAATAACTTGTACAGCATTCCGACTAAACAAAGGACTCAGATGCTAAAGGGCAACTAGTGACAAATCAAAAGTGTTGAAATGTATATAAGCGTAATATATAAAAGCCAAAGCCCTTTATGATGGGCACCTGCTTAATGAGTAAACAATACACTGTAACAAGCACACGTTTCAGCGACAAGGTCAGAAGTGTACAGTACTGCCTGCAGACACAACCACACTTGCGTTTCATTGTTAAAATGCTTCACCCTAGGTTCTTGCCATTAGTCACAAAGAAGTCTATTGGCTGATGAGCCGCACGGCATGTTAAAACAAACATTTACGCAGATTAGAGCACGATTTAAAAGGCGACTCTCCCACGCTTACCTCTAAGGACCTAAAAATAAATCCACAACATGGAGCATAATTCCAGTTGTTCACAAGGCATTCAGTAATAATTACTATATTCATAAATCACCCAGTCACCCTTTACCCTAGAATGTTTCATAAGCTCATGATATAATATTTCAACAATTTTTTTTTTTTTTTTTTGAGTAAGTTTAAAAAATGCACCGAATTGTAACAAAGGAGCTACTTCCTGGTGCCAAAAAAAAGAAAAACACCTACATCTGACGCCTAATAGGATTCACACATCGTCTCCCCTGGGCGGCAGACTGGTTCACCTTGGAACCCAAAAGGAAACAGACCAAACCAATTCACACCCACTTATTATGAGGTCAAATATGTGAATCTGGCTCATCTGTATTCCTGTGGCACGATATCGTCTGGTACGACTCCTGGTTTATGAGCCATCGGGGCCGGCCCACCGAGGTCATGTGACTGCACAGGTATGATAATAACGCGTTGGCCCGATTTTTGGCGAGCGTCCAGCCGTCTCTGGCTTCCGTCAGGCGCACTCGGAGCCTGATGCTGGGATATTTCTGATAGATCACTCCTAAGTGCATGTAAAGCTGAAAAGAGGATCCCTGTGGTATCGTACCACAAGCCCAAAAACTGACAGCATTTTTCTCCAATACATACGATGAGATACAGGAGATATAAATGACAACAGGTATATATATATACATATATATAACATCTATTCATTTAGCAGATGCTTTTAGCTGAAGCGAGGTACAACTGAGAAAGCAGAGTCAGTCAGTTCCGAGAACAATCGGGGTTTAAGGACCTTGCTTAAGGGCGTCTTACTGCTGACTGTGGGATTTGAAGAGACAAACTTCCGATCTTGGGTGCAGTGTCCTCACCCGCTGAGCCACACACCGCCCGCAACATCATCAAACAACAATAACACTGTTTAGTTAAAGAATAACACCATGGGGCTCTCCTAGGTGTGACATTGTCCCTAATTACTATTTTAGAGCTAAATATGTCAGTGTTAAACAAGGCTGACTGCCACAGCATTGACAGGTGTTGTCCAGATGTCAGGAAGTGGATTCCTCTTTCTCCGGAGTGACTGAAAAACAAGCTGAAGACTCCGTAAACAGTGGTGCAGGCTAATTCTCCTCGAAGGACTTGCTGTCGGCGTTGCGGTCAAAGATAAAAAACAATGAAGCCGTGCATCCAAGCAGGGCGATGCTGCTTATTAGACATATGTAATACACGTCTCAAATGTTTGTTTCTTAGCTTGTAATGTCACAGGACCCCAGAAGCTCGCAAGTAACACAGACACCGGCTCACCATGCCTAGGCAAAGTTTATACTTTGATTTTAAGCTTAATACCACAACATCACCACCTAAAGGAATGATTCCTTTCATAGCTATTTCAAAGGCAGAGAGAAGAAACATGAATGTGTTTTTGTGCCAAATACTTGCTCAAGCAATTATGGCAGCAGGACAATGTGGTATCAAAAACATTTGGCCGTCTGGTTACTTAATACCATTCACTCTGCAGCCAGTATTTTAGAGGAACCAGACTCTGGCAGAGGAGGATGATCCCGCAACGCCTGCATACGTTCAGCGGCTAGGGCATAAATTACAGGTCGTTTTGAAGCAACACTGACTTCATTCTGCACTCCCTTCCTAAATTATATAAGCGCTGTCTGTAATATATGGATGTCAAAGGCTAACGCACGCTTCTGCTGCCTGGTACCTGCATGTACCAGCTGTAGCGTTACGGTGAATAAGAGTTTAATGTACAGCACCTTGCAAAAAAGAAAGAAATGTGTATACTAGGTAAATGTATACATAATCATTTTTGCATCCAAAGTTATTCTTTGCATTTATAAAGCTGGATATCATGGATACTACTTCAGAGTTAGCCTTTTGACTTAAAACTTGCATTACCTTCAAAAAGACACCACCACACTAAGTGCACAGGCATTACAAGTACAGCTTTGATAACTGTAAAGACGTCACCAATGACAGCTGTAGCCTGAGCAAACTTTAAACGTTTTTCTCAGTGGAGTAAGGAAAATGTCCTACGTTTCCTGCAGTCATCCACTCTTATTAATTTAGCAAGGATACGTTTTAAAGCACAGCAACTTCAAACTACTGCATCTATACTTATGCCACATAATAGTTTTCCAGCCTTTCAATAAATCTGAATCACAGTTTGAAAGGGCTGGACTCTCTCCTCTAGTAGCCTTCTCTAGCTCTATACCGTTGCTTGGAGGCTGGTGCCATGGCTACGGATGAAGCCAATCAGAATCTGAGGAGATGCCGGAAAGATACCACACCTCGAGTAAGGAGCCAAGGGAGGTATTCCCCGACGCCAACCACAGAATTGTAGTTTCCAGTGTTCCCAGTCATTGGGCCCGGCTTGCCACTAAACGCCTTTGACTGATCCCTCTTAAAAACTCATGAAAAGTGAATGTCCAGGCGACTTTTATTTCGTCGTCATTTTTCCCAACCACAATCGGGGGGGGGGGATTCTGAGCCCATAATGATATGTTTATACAGGTCGGTAGTCACATTTATTTCTGTTCACCACTGGTAAATGAATTTGTTACAAGCAGACGGAGTTATTCCGACGTGCTGGGGTACTGGGTGACATCACGGCTGGCCTGCTGGGGTACTGGGTGACGTCACGGCTGGCGTGCTGGGGTACTGGGTGACATCACGGCTGGCGTGCTGGGGGCGTGTCCACAGGCTGGGTGCCCCCGCTTTCTGCCCCGGCCGGCGGATATGCTCCTGGAGCAGTTCCTGGCATCGTGGAGCTTGCGGTCTTCGGGGGGCGACCTGCCTGTGGCGGCTGCCGGAGGCTCCAGTGGGTCAGGCCAGTACCTGCTGTCGTTCACCCCGACCCACAACTCTGATCCGTTTCAACGCAAGAAAATCTCTTTTGGGTTAATCAGCACCAGATTAAGGGATAATAATAATAATCCATTAATCCAAAACTTTTCCGCACCACGTATTCAATGCAGGGGTGTGTGACCGCAGCTCATCCCAGGAAGGGCAGGTCGCAAGGTAGGAAGACCTTAGATGAAGCAGGTCCCGACATAAACACACACACACACACACACACACACAGATTAGGCATCTACATTTTTGTGGGGACTCTCAATTGATTTCTATGGGCAAAACCCTAATCCACACAATGCCAACCATAACCCCTACCCAGCCCCAATCTTAACCTTAAGCAATCAAACAAAATACAAGAATTTTGGCATTTTAAGTTTTTGATTTCACTTTAGGTCACTGATTTTGATAAAAAATTATTTTCCCCTTTTGGGGACTGAAAAAATGATCCCCCCAAAGGTCAAAATACACTTTTATCACAGTGTGGGGACATTTGGTACCCACAAAGCAATATATACATACACAATTACACACAGAGGGTATTTACCTGACACTGCATGCTCTCAGACTGTGGGAAAAGCCCAATAGCAACCATAATAAAAATTATTTTTATCATAATACACACACAACAATAATTTTTTCAATCACCTCTAATGAAAAAACATGTTTCCTTGCCAAGTTGGTTGTGCCTAAATTGGAGAGATTTATTTGCTTTGACAGTAAGGAACAAAATACAAGACAGCTAAATCATAACGCTATTAAATGTGAAGAAAGAGCTATTCCTTTTTACAGTTACGTACCACAAACTCAATGTCAGAAATTAAACAGGGTAACAAACTATCTGTGGCACTGTAATGTCTGAGTGAGCTAATATTTTGTTTTTCTTACATTGAATTTATATAAAAATAAATAAAAATAAAAAAAATTTCCTGACCCCTACAAAGACGGCAATCATGCAGAGCTCAATTTTAAGTGATTTACTCAAAGCCATACCAATAAAATTTATCAGTTTACATTGTGCTCATTAAATGGCGGAAATGGGCTCTGACTTATTAATTTGTTTGTGAGGCACACCCAGAAATCCAAGAGGCAGCAGCGGGCCCCAGGCGGGCCGAAGACTTCGGCCAAAACGTGGCTGACGATGAAAGACGAGAGCAAACTCACGGTGAGTGCAGGGGTCGTGCCTCCCTGTGCGTCAGGGACACAGCGAGGAGTCCGGCAGGCCGACGCCAACAGAGAGGCACCCCTTGCCGGCATCTGGGGTCCGACCCCTGGGCCCGCATTGTGCGGGACACATCCGGTACGCTCCTGGGGACGTGACCCCCCCAGAGTACCGCGCTGTCGCCTCCTGCGACACTCACACGTCCCTCCTGCTGAAGGCCGTCGTAATCAGGCCGACATGGAGTGCCGCTGATTATACTGACCCTAAAAGAGTTCTTAAGCAAATGAAAAATATTGACTTCCATTCCTAAAAGCCCTGCTTCCAATTTTCTGGAGGA